TGAAGTTTGAAACACGTTATTTGCAGAATCAGGACTGGCATCTGGGACTTAAAACTTTCAATTCAGGGTTTTTTCCTGTTTGTGCTATGAAAAGTTGGTATATATGTCAGAATAAAGCAACGTTTCAAAAACTTAATGAGAATTGGGCCTCCCTGGTGGCGCAGCGGTTGAGCGCTGGGTTGCGAGGCTACCCGCGGCCTCTGCGGTGCCGGTTCGATCCCCGGCTGCTCCCCGGCCACTGGAGGAGGGTCCCACATGGCGCGCAGACCTCTCCTGCCGCCCGCTGCTCCCCTCAGCAGTGTACTTCGGTCCTTCTGCCTGCTCTGCTCCCTGCTCTGGCTCTGGTGAATTCTCTCACCCTCCCGCGCTTCTGACTGTGCCCAGTGCATGTATGAACAAAACAGACAAACAAACCAGCAAACAAATAAATAAAGCATGCCTCTATTAAAAAAAAAAAAAAAAAAAAAAAAAACTTAATGAGAATTCAGTTTTATATTAGTATGTTTTCTCAGCGTTCAAATTCTTTAACAAAGAGAAAAGATTATATGACTACTTAAAACCGCTTAACTGAATATGACTATTAAGTTAGTGCTTAAGTAACTTATTACTTGCATGCATGTACTGGCTTGTTTATCCGGGATTTAGCATATTTCATGGAACTTTTGCTAATTGATCTTTTTAAACTTGGAATGTGTTTTGTTTCTTGAGTATTACAGATTTGAGTATGCTATCCAAGGAGTAGACCTGTGTTGTTGATATGTGGGTGATAAATGGCATATGGATGTATGTATATATATGACATGGATATAAACTGTAAGATAACTTTTTCTGCAACGGCGGGAGTGGAGAGACCAATTAGGTACTGTGATTAGTTCTTGCCTACTAAAGAAATTACTGGAGTTGGCATGGGTTTATAAGAAAAAAAAAAAAAAGAAAAAAAACCCCAAACAATAACAGATTTTTACAGATTATCTTGATCATTGTCCTTAAGGAGTTTTGTTCAGATTTGACATGGCTTACAGATTTTTTAAAATGTAGAGTGTATTTTTGAGAATAGTTTTAGATTTATAGAGAAATCAAGAATATAATACAGGATTCCCATAAACCCCCCCCCCCTCATCTGTTACCAGCTTCTTACATTCTAATGGCACATGTGTTAAAATTAACATACTGTTAGGCCTCTCTGGTGGTGCATGGGGTAAGTCTCAGTGCTACCAAGCTATAGTCAACCACTACAGGATGAGAGGCATAAGTTCCATCCCTGGTCAGGGAGCTAACCCACATGGCACAGCAGACCTCTCTTGTCTTGCCCACTGCTCCCCTCAGCAGTGTATTTCAGTAGATCAGCTTGTTCTGACCCCCACTGTCTCAGGTGAATCCTCTCACCCC